TTTCCTTTAATCCAAACCTAAACACTTGTAAAATATAGTTTCTTATCTGTGTAGCTTTAATAAAATAGTTATATTAGGTTTTCATTAAAAATTGCTTAGAAAATTTTGTCAAACCTTATCTGATTATTAGTGGTGTCGCGAACTTGCCGCGAACGGTTCGCCACGGTTCGCCACGAACCGTTGTGGCAAACTCCGGTCAGCTGACACATCCCTGCCAATCTCCGGCAGACCCTTCCTCCCAGACCCTCCCACCTCCTGGACAGCATCCATGTTGAAGCTGCCTTCAACATGGATGCTGTCCAGGAAGTAGGAGGGTCTGGGAGGGAGGGTCTGCCGGAGTTTGGCAGGGATGTGTCAGCTGACCGGAGTTCGCGGCGAACCATTCGCGGCAAGTTCGCGAACGGTTCGCGACATCACTACTGATTATTAGAAGACTGAGTCTAACAACAAAATCCAAACAATTCTGAATACACTCCATACAGTATTCCACTCCAACATTAGTTCAAAATGTTATGATTTTTCAGTATATAACATAATTGCTCAAGCTACTAATTCTTTTATTTCTAATATAATGTAAAGCAAATCCATTACTTTTGAACACTACGACTATAATTTGAACCCTCACTTAACCCTAAATGTCCTGTGTGCCTAAGCTTAGTGAATGCACTAACTAAAATGAACGTGTAAAACTAGCTTTACTTACCTTCCAGGACCTTGCTGTGGAGGAGTAGCAGGAGTGCTAGCATGCATGTGCAGCACAGGATCTAGCTGATTCCCGTCACCGGAAGTGAGGAGGGTAGGGGATTTTCACGAGGCAGGGGAATTTGATAGAACACCGGTACAAGGTTCAGAGATGCCAAAGTCACTTGTGCTGGAATATAGCTAGCCCAATGCACACAAGTGCAGATTACTCTGTATGTGCAGTGTGTCAAGCAGAAATGCTGAACATACAGATTCTTACCACCATGACCACTTCAAATCACTGAAATGGTTGTGGTGGTTGGAGTAAGCCTTTAACTATTTGTGCTAGAAATTTGCCATGTGGGTTTTAGTTTGCTGAATTTCAGAGTTTAGTATAGAAACCAATAAGTGTTGCACCTTAGTAAATACTGAACAGAATTTCAGTACATGTGCAAAGCAGAAGGTCTTGATCCAATGCCTTATAGAAATGTAGCCTTCCGTGTATAAAACTAAGACTGGCAAAATTGTGTTTTTATTCATTTGGAATGACATGACCACATGTCAGCTGTATTTTGATATAGCTTTTAAAAGATGAGATGTGCTGTGATTCTGTAATACAAATCATTGCAACTAATTTCATTACAGACTGTCAGGAACCAATAGATATTTGTGGATGTGCTTTTGTTGCAGGGATAGAACTTGGTTTTTGTGGTTTCTAAGGTTGCAGGTTTTTGTGTGATATAGTCATGTTAAAAGAAGTGAATATCTATTTTATCCCGAGCAGTATAAAACCTGTGTGCCATGTCGGAGAGTGATTATATTTCCCTTTATTTATAACATAAATTTATTTTTATTTATTGTTGTTATTGTATTAGCATGGATTAAATTAAAATGTTTATTTTATAGCGTGCACTCCTCATTGTTTATGTTCTATTGATATATTTACCCAGGGTGATATATGTATCTGTTTTGCTCTATATTAGCTTTTCTTATTTGCCAGTGTCAATCATTTGCCATGCCAGAGATTTCTGGTTTGTTTGTCAGTTTTCATTTTAGTAAAGTGAAATAATCCTGGTAAAGTAAACAAATATTTCCCTTTACAGGAGGCATATTTTTTTTGCGTGTGAGGCCAGCAGACAGGTTGCTCTCCGTGCTAGATACAGAGAGCCTTAAAATCAGTATCTTTGTGTGAAGAATTGTCTTTGTCATGATTCCATCTCTGGCCTTGGATGAAGCAACAATTACATTTTGATATTCTGAAAATGCAGGTATTATTCTGTTATTGGTACCTAACCAGTTTGGGAATACAACAACATAAAATGGTTAGTAGAGTTGGTTCTTGTTTGTGAATTTTTGATAGATGTGGTGACTATGTGTCTGGCCAATTATCTTGGGTTTTTACTTGGCATTTTAAAGAACACTCCAAGCACCGCAGTAGTGGTTATTGTGCCAGGAGTGCTCTAGCATCCTCTCAGAGTAATTTGTCAAACAGTTTTTACTTGTGTCCTGCCCACGCCGTATCTAATAATCTTTTGCAGGAGAAGCTGGATGTCTCCCCTGAGCTAAGCTTGGTTGACCCAGGACCTTGCTCATTGACTGAGAGAACTCCGTTAACACTCCCAGCCAATGACAGAGGGTCTACATAGCCCTAATCCACTGAGCTAGACAGGGATAATACAGCAGGCACATGGAAAGATCCCAGGTAATTTGTAAATCCATTCTGATGCTGTTAAACAAATTACTGGTACACTAACCACTACAATAGGCCACAGTGATTATGGTGCTTGAAGTGATCCTTTACCATTTACATCACAAGAAAGAATGCTATACAGGGTCATATATATATATATATATATATATATATATATATATTTTAAGTATAGTAAGCGACTGGTCAGGGCATGACATATTTAAGGAGCTATGGGAGACACTAAAATGCACATCAATATCATAGATTTCTTATACCTTATATTAACTACTTCTACGTAGCTACCGGTATGGTGAAGCTGAATAATGAAAAATTTTCATTGACTTTTTATTTATATGAATCAATGTTTTTATAATGTGCATTTACCCATGACACTGACATTCCCTTGACAGCATTTTTCATTGACATAGAAAGCCAAAAAGTAAAGACATTGCTGAAATATTAGGTATTTCATAACAAACTGTAGGGTATGTAAAGAGGCAAAAGTGCATGGGTGACAGTGTGACATCAGAAGTAGCAAAAAATAACTGAAGTGGATGAATCATAATGCTTAAAATTGTGAAGAAACCCTTAGCATAAGCTGCTGAACAGCTCAAGGACAGTTTCCAAGACCTTGATCTGTCTCAAAGTGTATTAAATTTCCAATGGACAATTTAAAGTCCTTGAGTTGTAGTAAACTCCCAAAGGAACTACTTATTAATAGAGTAATACATCATCATATCTCAGCGGCATTCCATATTTTTCCCAACTAAAAGAATTATGAAATCTCGGAGGAGGGAAAGAAGTTCCAAGTTCCAAATAGGAGAACTTCTTTCTCTCCTACAATGTTTATTCACTATTTGGGTTCATGCCCTACCCCCTTAGCCCAAATTATTCTCCCACCCTTTTTCTGTTTTTTGTTAATTATCAAATCTCCACACATGACCTTCACGTTGATGATGGTGGGTATACAAGAAGATATGTAATTGGATAGAAAAATGGAAAAAAAGTCAGTAGTGTATATCCAATATTACACCAAGATATTGATTAATAAAATTACCACACAATAAGACTCCCATTTAGTGTATTTGTAATTCAGGGCTTTGTCTCAGTGTGCCATTATGTTACCCCCAGTGCTTCGCAAAGTTCTTGTAGCCATATGCAGCGTCACAATGCAACAGGTTTCTACCATCACCTGTGAATAAACGAGCACATAGGAGTAGTTTGGATGTTATTTGAGGATACAAACTAAAATGCATACATATGCCATAGAACTTAAATGTAGTTCAAACAAGTGGATATATTTGTGAACTTGTTTAGAACCTATACCACGGGAGAAAATGTAGAAATACACACATTGCAAAAGTCATACAATAAAATAATGTACAAAAATAAGTTTGAAAGTACAAATTAAGAAAAATAAAATTACAGTTTGAAATCAAATATAAGTAATAAATATAAAGTGGGAAATGAATAAAGTGAAAATCCTACAAGTGAAAAATATATAACTGAATGAATAATTAAAGGATCACTCCAGGCACCAAAACAACTTCACCTAAATTAAGTTAAGGTGCAAGAATGCCCCTATAGGCTTTCTTACCGCAAGGGTCTATACTTTTCAAGAATAGTTTAACTGCTAAGTTGCCTCCATCGACGGTCTCCGCTGCCCCCAATGGAGGCATCCATCTTCAGATTTTTCACTTACATGAAGCGAGACATGCAGCTGATACTCTCAGTCAGTCAGTGACTCCACATTCACTAGGCTGGCTTACAAAAGGTGTGTTTCTGTGCAAGCCAGTTTAGTGAATGGGTAGTCATTAATTGGCTGGGAGCATTAGCTGATAACTCTCAGCCAATCAGCAGTGCCCCTGCCTGGTGGAACTCAGCTATTCCTTTAAATGAAAATTTTGAAGCTGGATGCCATCGCTGGAGGCAACTTAGGAGTCAAGCTGTTCCAGGCATCATAACAACTTACTTTAGTTAAAGTTGTATGGTACCTGAAGTGTGCCTTTAATGAGTGGATAAAAAATATAAATAATTATCTAGATGTAAATATATTAGTGTGTGTAAATGCATTCAGTTAATAAAAACATGTGACTGTTAAACCATAATATCATAAAATATTAATAAGTCAATAATAGATACAATCAATGCAATGACATTCTTATGTCTTTGTTGCTGTTATGTCCTAGTTAGGTGGATCAGTAAATCAATGTCCTATTCATTCCTGGCATACAGCTTGATGTCCTCAATGTAAAAGGGGTTGCTAATGGTAGCTCCACTCTTGAACCAGGATCTGTATCCATTCATAATGAGCTGGCTGAGGGGGTTGAGGCCTATGCAGAACAGAATAAGGGACACTACCTTGGTATATGCCACGTTTGATGTTCACTTATAATTGGCTTCTAGTGTTGTTCTCTGCTTGCCCATTGAGTTCTTGATGAAAGGACCACTATAGTGCCAGGAAAACAAACTCATTTTCCTGGCACTATAGTGTTAATAGGCCTCCCCCCCCCCACCCTCATGGCCCCCCTCCCGCCGGGCTCTAGGGGGAGGAAGGGGTTAAAATCTTACCTTTCTCTAGAGCCGCGCGCGCATTCAGTCAGTCCATAGGAAAGCATTCTCAATGCTTTCTTATGGACGCTGGCGTCTTCTCACTGTGAAATCACAGTGAGAAGCGCGGAAGCGCCTCTAGCGGCTGTCAATGAGACAGCCACTAGAGGCTGGATTAACCCTATTGTAAACACAGCAGTTTCTATGAAACTGTCATGTTTACAGCAGGCAGGGTTAACCCTAGATGGACCTGGCACCCAGACCACTTAATTAAGCTGACGTGGTCTGGGTGCCTATAGTGGTCCTTGAAGGTCTTGTGGACCTTGTATAGAGCCACGCATTCCAGTATCCACGTGTGTAGCATTGTGTCATAGGCTTTCGTGCAGTCAATACAGGCTATGCACAAATTTTTCTGTCTAGTCTTGGAATCTTGGACTGCTGAGGCAAATATATATTTATATGCGATTTGTCCAGGAACACTTACTTGTGAAGTGGTCTGACTGTTAATCTGGGTTTCCCAGTTCCAAGACAGGGACATTCCCACTAATCTATCCAGCAAATGAGAGGGGAAAAAACAGTCCTGGCCTATATACTGAGACTTGCAGGCAAAACTCAATACATAATTTATATCTAGAACTACTTATGGAGGCCATACAGCAAGACCTGTAAAACAAATGGAGAACCTTTATGTCTCATACTAAATTGATGGTTAACTCTCTGATCCGTACCTGAAAATCAACTAAACACAATAGACATTGTAATTCTTCAAGGGAATAAAGCTGTGGTTGGTAACTACACCGTGGAATATCCAAGACATGATAAATCTTCAACATGAAACAGAATTAATGATATAAATAGTGCTGCTGAAGAAAACACCAAGCATGGACCACACACAATTAAACCAGAAACATAATGTACATAGCTTCCTTATCACAGTTTGTTACAAGCATAGATAATGTTCAGAGCGAAAAATCTAATGTTCACTTGACACATTAATTGATGATGAGAATGGCATCTCTAAACTAATCCAAACACAGGCAATGTTTAAGCCACATGAGTTCTTAGCATGGGTAAACTAACTAAAAATTCAGTTATCTAGATGTACTTTATTCCAAAAAAAACATAATAAAAAACACAAACCAATTACTTCCCAAAAATAAGATATATAAATAACGTTAAGACAGCATATTCCATTTCATCCAAATATATAAGATGAGTAGGATTTTTTTCTTATGGAACACCAAGAGAGCAGCATTTAAAGATATGATACACCAAGACCTCTGAAGAGATATCAGCAATCATTTTCTGCTCTGTGTGGCATATTTCCTCCTGTAGTGTGCACAAGATGGATAGAAAAAACTGTATTCACGTGTTCTAAACTCCCAGACTTTATCACTCTATTATCAGAAAGGAAAATCATAATGACCTATCCTGCAGTTAGCCTTATATGAAGAATACGTCTTAATGACTCTTCCTTTAATATAAAATCCACCTTATTCACTTTTTTAGCAAGACTATCCCTTTCTCAAAAACTGTTGACAACCTCTGTATTTTTCCGGAGTCAAATGCCAGAGCTGAAAAAACGCTTGCGTTTCAGCCAGTGGCGGATCCAGAGCCTGATCTCGGGAGGGGCACTTGTAGATTATTTAAAGAAATAATCCAGACACAATAACAACTACAGCTCAGTGTAGTGGTTATGGTGTCAATAGTGCCGGGACCCCCTCCCAGAGTAAGTAGTCAAACCGTTTAAGAACAGTTTGACAACTTACCTGAGGTCTGCTGGGAAATGGGGCAGTAGTAGGGCATGGGAGCAGTGGTGTGTGTGAGTGGTGCAGTGTGTGTGTGTGTGAGGGGGACAGTGTGTGCGCAGTGTGTGTGTGAGGGCGGCAGTGTATGTGTGGGACAGTATGTGTGTGTAACAGTTGCAGTGTGTGTGAGTATTGCAGTGTATGTGTGAGTGTGGGCAATGTGTGTGTATGGGGCGGCAGTGTATAGGGGCAGTGTGTGTGTATGGGGAGTGTATGTGTGTAGAGTGTGTGTGCATGGGGACAGTGTGTGCATCGGTAGTGTATGTGTGTAGAGTGTGTGTGTATGGGGGGGCAGTGTGTGTGTAGTATGGGGGGGCGGTGCATGGGAGGCAAATGTGTGCATGTGGGGGGGGGCAGTGTGTGTGTATGGGGGCAGTAAGGGGAGGCAATGTGTGTATGGGGCAGTATGGGTGCATAAAGGTGCATGGGTGCATGCTGGGGGCAGCATGGGTGCATGGGGGTTGCATGGAGGGCACCGCTCAGGCTGGGGGGCAGCATGTGCAGAGGTGTGTGTATGGGGGCAGAGTGTGTGTATGGGGCAGGTGTGTGTATGGGGCAGTGTGTGTGTGTGTATGGGGGAAGTGGGTGTAGGGGGGGCAGTGTGGGTGCATGGGGGCATTATAAGTGTACAGTATGGGGGCAATGTGTGTATATGGGGGCAGTGTGTGTGTATGGGGGCAGTGTGTGTGTATGGAGGCAATGTGTGTGTATGGAGGGCAGTGTGTGTATGAGGGGGCAGTATGGGGGCAATGTGTGTGTATGGGGGGCAG